GCTAGGGTATAGACCCAAACGAAACGTTCGACCAGCTTAGGTAGGGCCCAAACTAGTCCCACGACCACTAATGATTACAGAGCCAAACCAAGGCAATATATATACACAGCCCAGGTGTGAATGCAAACAATGGAATACAAATATATATATAGTACGGTAACCACTGACCAGCTTAACAATGGCCTCTGTGGTTAACGATTGTAGATGTAATCTAAAGGACTTTGTAAGTCGATCCAGTAACGAAATAATGATATTGTCAAGCTGTTTAAAATCCCATGTCACTCATGACAAAACACCTTCAATCAACTATACAATGAATTCACGGATTTATCAGAGAATATCTGGATTACTCTATTTTCATTCGACTTAAAATGCAGTAATTGTTTCTGATTAGCAATGATTATTATATTCAACTGTTGCATATTCTGACTGTCATGGGATTAGAACCCACAAGGCCATTATGTCCCAGATCTCGTACTAAATACCAGGTACTGTATAAGCCAGTGGTTCCCAAACTTTTTGCGTTCGCGGACCCTTCAGGACATGTCAAATGTCTTCATGGACTTCCATGTCTGAATATTACTTATTGTCTATATCCCAACAATATGATTATAGATAGAATATAGTGTCTAGTGTACGGTAAATGTGGCTTTAAGCATACATAAAATCTAGTTACCAACCGTCTCGCACGTGTGCGACGGTCCCGCATTTCAAAGTGATTTTGGATGTAACATTTTGCAGAAACGCATGCGTATTCATAAATTTGTCATGCATTTAGTACAGGTCTAGGCGTGATAACGAATAATCACAACTTTCCCCCGATATTTTTTCGATGTGTTTTTCCTCTTATTTTTTCCCAATGATTTTTTCCCATCACAACGTCATCTGGCGTCATAATGCTTAAGTGTTGAAGTTAAATTTTATGAGCTGTTTTTATGAACGTGTGTGTTTGCGCATAAAGAAAATTAACTACTCTAGGATAGTCCAGCCACAAAAAATGATCAACGGTCAGCAGTTGGATTTTAGACGGTGTATGCAAAATACGCGATAATTATGTCATCATGCCAAAATAAGCAACAGGTGAATGATTTAATAGTTTATAAATGATAATGACTGTGATGTCCTTGTACATTATGTGGTACTGTGCGTTTTGCAGATTATCTCGTGATTTTAGATGTTGTAAAACTAGTTCTCCAGCCTTGTGATGCAAGCATTGCGTATTTTTTTTGTTTTTGAGAATACGTTGACGTCATGAACAAGCATGATATCATACTTTTATACCGATCACTACAGTTATGCCAAAAAGTCCGTTTTTGAGATATAAATGAAAACTGTACCCGAAAAATCAACTACGCATTTTGGATTATGAATCGGTAAAGCTGCGTGTGTGGGTGTGGGTGTGTGTGTTTTTGTTAAAATAAATATTTCAATATATTCTGAATTCATTCTCATTGTATCTGATATATAATCTAGCAGGCATTTGCTACAGAGGGAAGAGTTTTCAAGATAGAACATGTTGCATTTTAATTTAATTGCGTCTTACTCGACAACAAAGGTAAACAGTATTTTACTGAAGTAAAAGTTAAATTCCACCAGTCGATTGATGTCATCTGGATGAGCATAATTGGCATTTTGAATCTATCGCATCCTTGGATCAAGAAGGTATTTTAATTGCAGTATACTGCAAATGTATATATAGTAGTAACTCTGAATATAAGTAAACAGCGGTTTAGAGTAACAACTTTAATTCCACCTGTCGTTTGAAGTTCATATGGATGAAGAACATCATTGGAATTTTGAATATAGGCTATCCCATCCTTGGATCAAGAGCGTACTTTAATCAAACTATATATAGTAGTACCTCCTTGATCCAAGTTCAATGATCTGAGTATACCTCCATGATCTAAGTTGGATCATTTTATGGAGGCTCCGACGAAAGCTTTCTAATTACCGATGTCCTCTATCGCCTGTGCATGGTCTATTTACTCCGCCAAGGTTTGTTCCTGTTTATAACTTCTGGCTTAATTAATCAATAGTGTTGTTGATCCGCTTATAGGAACATAGTAAAACTAGCATCTCTTCGAATTCTAAAAATAGAATTCCGACGCGATGCATGCCAAATGCCACTGTAATTGATTATTTTCCCTTTGAGATCGATTGAGGATCAGACATTATTTATAGAATAGATTATGTTTTTACCCCAGTTGTACAAATTAACATTTATAAATATGCCTTGCATTCAAAATCTGTTTAATACAATAACTAAGCCAGAGCATTCTTAAAAGTAGACTTTCTGTGATAGAATGTGTGGTAAAA